TTCCATGTTTTTAAAGAGATCTTAAGTAATAATTTACTTCCTCCCACCATGAAGCAGGGTGTTATCACCCTTATACCCAAACCAGAAAGAGACAACAAGGTTCTCGACAACTACCGTCCGATCACCCTTCTAAATTGTGACTATAAACTATTGATATATTTATACAAACAGATTAAAGACGGGTCTGAAGGATGTTATTTCTGAAACACAGACAGGTTTTATGTCCAAAAGATCGATACATGATAACATCAGACTGGTGCAGGATTTACTTGAGTACAGTGACCTGATTGAAGATAAAGGCTTCATCCTTTTCCTAGACTTCTACAAAGCCTTTGATATGTTGGAACATCAGTTTATTTTCAAGGTTTTGCAGATGTTTGGATTTGGACCAAACTTCTGTAGTGTAATAAAATGCTTCTATGACGGCACCACGAGCTCAGTTGCACTGCCACATGGTACATCTCCACGTTTCTCCATTAATAGGGGCGTTAAACAGGGTTGCAATATTTCCCCGTTTCTCTTCATCTTGGCTGTTGAAGTGATGAGTATTTTCATAAAAAACTCAAATATACCGAAATTGAAAGTTTTGGATGACCAAATTATAATTAGTCAACTAGCTGATGACACCACAATTTTTTTGAAGAATCTAGACCAAACCCCTAAAGTACTCAAGTTAATTAATATTTTCTCCAAAGCATCAGGATTAACCTTAAATCTGCAGAAGTGTGAACTGATGGCGATTCATGCATGTGATCTGACGGAAGCCTATAGTATTCCTATTAAATCTTCAGTTAAATATCTTGGCATTTTAATAACTAAAGATGTTAAACTCAGTGAAACCGTTAACATAGAGAATAAAATACAAAATTGCAAATCTCAGTTAAATAGATGGCTCCAAAGAGATCTGACCTTGTTTGGGAGAACCTATTTAACCAAAATGGAGTCGCTATCCCGGTGCATTTACCCAGCTTATTCTATGGCCATACCTAATAAATATATTAAAGCTATAAATCAGCTGAACTTTAATTTCATCTGGAAAAATCGAGTCCACTACTTAAAGAAAGCAAATATGGTTAAAGACTTTAAAGATGGTGGTTTACAAGCTATTGACTTTGAATGTTTAAACGCCATCTTAAAGGTAAATTGGTTGAAATCTTTTTAATGAATGGAAACAGTGTCTGGTACTGTCTCCCCAAAGGTTTGTTTAAAAAAATAGGATGCATGGATTTTGTTCTTAGATGTGACTTTGATGTCAACAGACTTCCTGTTAAGTTATCTGCTTTTCACAAGCAGGTTTTGTTGTGCTGGAAACTTATGTACACACACAACTTTACTCCTCACCAAACCCCCATCTGGAACAATAGATATGTGTTACACAGAAATAAATCTTTGTATTTGGATCACTGGATGGAAAAAGGTATTTGGTCCATAAGACATTTTCTTAATGACAGTGGAGATTGGTTGTCTTATGACGAATTTTGCTTAATGTATAACTTGGTTTGCTCACGCACTCAGTTTCATATGGTATTAAACTCCATCCCCACTGCAGTCAAATATCTGGTTCAAAATATAAACATTAAATCAGCTGACCTTCAGTTTCCAGCTCTTCAACTGTTTGGATTTAACCTCTTGAACAAAAGTAATTCTAACAAACGGATGCGTCAGCATCTTACTAATATTATATTTCCTGTCCGACCAAATAAAAACTCCATTTTAAATTTGTTCTCTGATTCAGAGGTTAATAAGTGGAGAACTGCTTACCTTAAATATCCTCTGAGCCCTAAAGCTAAAGAAGTTCATTTTAAAATTCTCAACAACATTTTTCCATCCAGGGAACTTTTAAGACAAAGATTTAACTTCGACATTAACATGTGCACCTTTGTAATACTGACATTGAAACAACAGATCATCTTTTTTTCTATTGTGTGCAAACTGCATCATTTTGGAGAAACTTTCAGGACTGGATCTCAACTAAACTTTCCCTCCATCATCCATTAAAAAAAGAGGATGTAATATTTGGAACCACCCACAAAGACACAAAAACCGATCTGGTTCTGAACAATCTGCTGATCCTCGCCAAATTCTTCATCCACTCCTGTAAATGGGGAAATAGAAAACCGGACTTTTCAGCTTTTAAAAACCATCTGATGGAGAACCACTATAGAACCTTAAAACTGATCAAAAACAAGCAGGGAATTAAACTTTTGGATGCTTATAACGACCTGACTTTATTTGAAAACTAAAGCCCTTTTGTCTCTTTTTTTTATTTTTTTTTTATTTATTTATTTTTTATTTTATTTATTTATTTATTCTCTTTTCTGTTTTTTATTTTTGTTCAGTAATCACTCTGTTTGATGTCTGACTGATTTTATTTATTTAACTTCTTTATTTTATTATTATCCTTTAGTTATATGTGTGCCTTAAGCCTGTAAACTTTACTTTTCCATGTATGTATATGCCACGTGAATTTGTATAATTGTTAAGTAATTAATAAAAAAAAAAAAAAAAGCTCTGGGTAGCGAACTCCCAAAATAAATTATTAAACATCTTGGAAGTCCAGAAGAGACACCAAAAGGACCATATTCGTAAGTTAAAAATGACAATACTGAATTGAAACGTCCATTCATAACCGGAAAACAACTCTAAGCGAAAAAGAAAACGACAATATTTTTATTGTCAATATTACCTTGTATTCCAATTTAAGTATGCCTCTTATTCATCTATCTTATACAGAATTGTACTAATGTTGTACAATTCTTACTTGTTTATGATTATTTTGTTTCTAAACTGTGTTCATGTAATGTCAGGGTGGTGTGACGTCTGTGTATAGCCCCTGACAGTATTGTTGTGTATATGTATTGTTGTGTGATATAATTTCAATAAAAACTTATTACAAAAAAAAAAAACTTCCTCTGATGACTGTTTTTGACCATTTTCTTTTCAACTGTTCTCGAGCTAAGAAGCATTCCTCCCCAGTTGGGGAGGTAGACAAAAGTAGCTCTCAGGACAAGAGCACTTCCTCTAAATATTCTGTTTTTGAAGCATTTCTCCGACTGAACCTCCCCGGTTGGGGAGGTTTGCTTTGAAATGGAACGCTCAACTTCTGCTTCGAAGAAGGTGCCATTTCAAGACCCTACCATTGAAAAGAGCCATGTGCAGATCAATGTGATAGGAGAAAGAATTCCCCAATCTTCCCAAAGAAGAAACGGAGACAGTTGAGTCTGAATACTCAAGTTTGGATTTGAAGAAAGAAAGCACCCATTAAGAGAGCATTTGTCTGGAGAACAATTTCTCCATTCTCCCAATCGAGCTAACTTCCCCGCCTGGGGATGTTTGCTTTGTCGTTGAGAAAGTTCTCCCAGAAACCACAGATGTTGCAAAGAACCAAGTCAGCAAAACTGAAGAAAGCGATCACGCGTTCAAGGCAGACGATGACCATGTTATGACTGCAGGTGGCCACTGCAAAGAAGACATTTATGAAAGGGGATTTATTTACATTTATGAGAAGAAAACACCAAGTGTGATATCTTCCTCTGGTCCTTCTCCAAAGCAGCCAGGCCATTTTTCTACGGGAGCCAGAATAATTAAAAGATGTTGCTGAAAACAAGACAGGAGCCATTTTTGAGGTTGGAGAGATTATTGTGAAAGAGACAGAGAATGTGTTTAATCAACAAAAGAATATGTGTTTATGGGAATTTATATATATAAGAATATATGTATATGGGAGCCATTGTTGTTAATTTTGTGTTTATTTTGTATGGAACGAATATATTCTATATATATAAGAACATATGTATATGGGAGCCATTGTTGTTAATTTTGTGTTTATTTTGCATTCTCATGGTTATTATTTGCTTTTGTGATTTTTTTCATAATTTTATTCTTTCTCATTTTTGTCTGTGGACTTACTTATATGTCTGCAACATCACGCCAAGCATTGAATGATTAGGTTTAAATTTCATTTCAACTGTTAAAATGTATTTACCAGTTGAAATTGCATTTCTTGTTTCAGTTTAAAAATCCTTTATTGATCCCAGAGAAAATTGAATGTTCATCAAGAGTCTTCAAAGAGCCAATGAAGATGCCGATGGCTGACGACAGGAACGCGGTCTGTGCCACATTGAACCCTGAAGAAGACATCTGTTTTCCAGATGTTTATTTTCCTCAACCACCTTCACTTCTTCTCTCATGATGGAAAATATAACTTGATAGCTGGGACATAAATATCTCTCCATTTAGCTTCAGTTTGTTAGTTTTATTCATGTCCTCAGTTTCTCCGCCGACCATATTTTAAATAAAATCCTTTTGGTAATGACAAAAATAAAACAACTAGATCCGAGTTGAACTGCCAGAGACTTCCGCCAGCACAAGGAGGCGTCGTGACAGCCCTACTAAATGACGAACAAAATATGGAGAAAGGTAAACGTGAGTAAAATATAAACTTCCAGAACAACTCATGGTGGTTTCTGTGCATTGTTCCACACAACAACTGAACTCTAAATTCCAATTGAGTTTGTCACAAAAACTATTTTGTTAAGCTCAGAGTTTTCCGCCTACGCGATCATATTTATTTACATTATTATGACAAACAAGGGTAAACTCTTAAAATAACATTTTTATCATTGTTTCAGATGATGACAAAAACATTTACCCTTATATATATATACTTTATATATACAGCTTCAAGATATTGTGCAAATGATGAGATTGGGGGGGAACGGTAGTTTTATTTGTGAAGATCTACGTGAGAAATGATCTAGTGATAAAGAAGTTAACTCATGGAATTGCGAGACTAAGGAACACAGAATAATAATAATAATGAAAACCAGAATCAGTAGACCAAAAACCCCCCAACAACCCAAAAACAACCCAGATCCTGACAAAATCAATATGACACCATGCACAAATCATGGGTTTTAAACCACCTGCTACAGATTTTTCAAACCTTTTGTTGTTCTTCAAATCCTGGCACCACATATTTCCGTGTGTTAGTTCTTTACCTTGTGCGCCATCTCCAGCGGCTCCCCTCCTTTGATGAGGATTCCGTTTTGAGCCCCGACTCCTGTTCCCACCATTACAGCTGTCGGGGTCGCCAACCCCAGAGAGCAAGGGCAGGCGATGGACAAAACCGTGATGGACGCCTGGAAGGCGAAGCGGACGATAACCTCCGCTTTGGAGATGTTCTGGTTGTAGCCCTGCACAGAGGTCGAAGGTTAGAGATTTGTGGACTCTGCTTGCTCGTTGGCAAGTTAAACTATCCAAAATCCCACACACCGGAAAGTGCTCCTTCACTACGTCAAAGTTGACAAACCCAACAGAAATCCAAGCCACCAGCGTCAGCAGGGACGTAAAAATAATGAAGGGCACAAAGTAGCCGCTGATTTTGTCCGCAAACTGTTGAATCGGAGCCTGCGCAAAAAAAAAACAAACAGAAAAAACAACAATTGACAACATCCGCAAAAATCAGCAATTGTTAAAAAAAACGCTTTTGTCGAATGGTAAACTCAAATGTACCGTAATACCTTTGATGTTTGTGCCTCTTCAACGAGTTTAACTATCTGAGACAGAGTGGTTTCAGCGCCGACGTGCGTGGCTTCCACCAGGAGGGCACCGTGAGCGTTAATGGAGCCCGCAATCACCAAGCTGCCCACCTTTTTACTGACGGGCATCGGCTCGCCTGGTAAAGAGGAAAGAAAGGGGGACGTGTTAACGAAGCAACGACACCTGCACACGCAACTGTTCTCCGTGTACCTGTAATTAAGGACTCGTCCGCCATAGAACTTCCCTCAATCACTTTTCCATCAATGGGAAACTTTCCTCCAGGGACGACTTTGACGACGTCGCCCCGCTGGACCAGCTCCACCTCTATCTGCTCCTCGCTGCAAAGTACAAATGCATCAGTGCGGGTTATGCAGCTGGGTTGTAGCTGTGCAGAGTTTCACATTCAGGGCTTTACCTGACAACACGGCGATCGGGTCCTAACGTGACCACTGTGGCTTCGGTGGCCTGGAGTGACATCAATTTGGCCAAAGCTTCTGAGGTTTTGCTCTGAAAACGCAGGACGAACATCCGCTGAACGAGGAAGGCATTTGACTTCATTGTTACACTAAATTAGGGCGTATAAATTGATTTGACCCATTGGGGCAGTTAAGCACCAGACCAAAGTCTGAGATTCTCGATTTCAAGACTTCAATGCCGTAGATGAACATTAAGAGTTTATAAATAGAGGGTTGGGATTCCTTAGCCAATGAGTTAAATTTCTAATCAATTGAAATACAAATAGGTGGCAAAAATGGAATGAGTTTCATATGCATTGTGTTTTACAATCAGACAGAGACTGAGAAACAACATTTTGTTTTAAAGTCTGGTAAAGAAAATCAAAACAGTATGGAAAATGCTCAGAATGTTTTTTTAGCATCTTGAGCTTATAACACAACAGTGATAGCAAAACCCAAAACATATTTTTATCCTCTACCTTCGCAATGTGCTCCAGCCATCGTCCGAGAGCGATAAACACGAAGAGCATGGGCGGAGTGTCGAAAAAGGTGACGGGACTCTGGGCGGCTTGCTCTGCTATGGCCACAACGAGGACCACACAGGAGTAGACGTAGGCGACGGAGGTGGCCAGCACGATCAGCACGTCCATGTTGGCCGTGCGGTGTTTTAGTGAGCGATATGCCTGGACGTAGAAGTATCGCCCTCCAAAAATCTGAGCAAAGAAATGCCAGAACCTCATAGCAGATTTAAACGGGAGCAGTTGGCTGCCGAATATGGAAAGAGAAACCTTAAATCCAGATTTGTCGTTTTCCTTGTACCTGCACGGGTGTACAGAGGAGGAAAAAGGCCAGGTTGAGGAGGGAAAGACCCGGCAGCACATTCTGTTCCTCAGGCATGGAGCCTCCGTGCTGTTTGTGTTGGATGTCCATTATCATCATATAGATCATGAGGCCCATGACTGGCAGGCCAAAGACCAGGCTGAGCAGGAAGGAGTTCTTCCATCTAGGGGAAAACGGCAGGAAAATAGAAAACTGTTGTATAATAAGGAATTTCAGTTTCAGTAAAAATGTACAATTTTCAGTGAATGAAAGGTGTTAAGGGAATTGGATTAAAAAATTCCTACAAGGTCTAAACCAGGGATGAACGGCCGAACTTTCAACATACAACTTGAATTAAATGTCAGTTACGATCTGCGATCAATAACATATTTCTTAAATTGAATTGAAATAGGGTTCTCACTCTTTAATATGACATTTTATCATAAATTCTGGTTCTGAATGAACTATCTTGTGACAAGATAATTTTCAAAATAATTTTCCATTTGAACTAACCATTTGTTGTTGTTTATTTTTCAATAAAAATGGACTCACTGTCGGATTTCCTCTGAGTGGTCGAGGTTGTTTTTGAATCCAGCTTTCTCCAGACTGGCCTCAAATCCAAGGCTCTGTGATTACAAACAAGAAGTTCCAGTCAGTAAGTAACATTTCAAACCAATGAAACACACAAAAACAAGACCTTAGATTACGAACACCTGAATTATCCTGACAATATCACGAGCTCCGAGGATTTCTGGGTCAAACTTGACGTGAGCTCTTTGGGTGGCCAGCGCCGCTGAGGCTGAGTGGATGCCTTTGGTCGTGATGAGTTTGGACTCGATTTTGTGCACGCATGACGCGCACGTCATTCCTGTTATCTGCAGATCCAGCTTCCCGTGTGCCCCTGCGTTGTCTTCTAATAGCTCAGCACCAAAGCCTAAGTCCTCTATGAGCTGAGTCACTCTGGATGGATCAATGAGATTTGGATCATACTTCACCTCCGCCTTTCCGGCCATCAGAGACACCAGGATTGCAATGATTCCTGCAACATACAGCAAAGTCTGTCACTAACGACAGGAAAATCGTTTTAGAAGCAGGTTTGCTCCAACTTACCCTTGTGTTTGAGGATGTGTCTCTCAATGTTGGCCACGCAGGAGGCGCAGGTCATTCCCGTCACACGAATGAAGCATTTCTCTGCTTTCGTTTCGGGGGAGCTGATGTGGCAGGTCGAAGGGGTTACCTGAGATCCAGCGCCGTTGCTCATTCCCAGCCTGCTGGTTGAGCACAGGTCTTGTTTTTCCTGATTCACAAGAGGCTCTGAAAGAAAAATCACACAATCTCAGGAAGTGTGAAGTCCATGCAAAATATGTTCAAACCAGCTATGCCTTTACTGAGTAACACCTGAAAATTTGAGCTGGAAAATTCAACCCTGACAGCACAAAGTAGCAAAAAAAAAAAAAAAAAAGACAACCAAGAATCTGAGCAGCACAACATACGCAAATTATGAGACTTCCTAATTGAATAGTAGGGATTAAGCTATCAAAGAAAGTGTTGTCAAGCCTAAAGAAATGTAAGCCTTTCATAGTATTTCTGAAAGTATTCAGTCAATGAAAGGTAACACGACTTACCTTCAAGTGAAGCGTCAAAGCCCATTTCTTCTACAGCTGCCCTAACATGCTCTGGAGCAGTCAGACTGGGGTCCAAGCATATTGTTCCCTTCCCTTCCTTTAATGACACCATTATGGACTTCACTCCAATCATCTGAGAGATCCTGCCCTCTATGGACTGCACACATGACCTGCAGGTCATCCCACCAATCCAGACAGTTACAGTCTGAACGGGTGCATCGATATAGTCACTCTGCCAGTAGCTTAGATCTCCGTCAGACGACTCCTCAGGTAACAAAGCGGCATCGAATCCCATATCTTCGATTTTATCTCTTAGTTCGTGCTGTGTAACGAGGACAGGCTGATATACGATTAGAGCTGTTGCATCCTGAAGAGACACCTGGATGTGCGAGACCCCTGATAGCCCTCCAAACTGCCCCTCGATGGCCTGCACGCAAGACTGGCATCGCATCCCGCCCACTTTAATCCGTACGGCCGCTTCAACTCTACATCCCAAGGTCTGAAGTTGCCGCGCGATCGCTTTGGTTGTGGTGATGGAGGTATTGTAGTCCACCTGGAGTAAACCATCTGACACAGACCAGATGATGGCAAAGACTCCGTTAAGCTGGCCGAGAGTGGTTTCCACAGCTTGTTGGTCAGAGGCGAGTCCCAGAAGTTTGAAACTGATTCTGGAGATTGGTTTGGCCGATAGGTCGAGTTCACTATGGCTTCCGTAGTTGTAAGCCAAGTTGTCAAAGGCTGTTGGGTTGTCGTCTGGGCCATTCCTCTGAAAGGGTGAGAGCAAATGCATTAATCCTCCCTTATTTATCACTAACCATTTGACACAAGTAGAAGCAAGAAAAAGAAAGGAAACTCAAATTAATCTTTGAATCAAACGCGTAAAATACAGACACACGTTTGTTGCTGTCTAAAGCTTCCAGTGTTTCTGAGATTTCACATCTCTATGGGAAACTAGACATAAAGTGTTCTTTGCTTTTTTTTTTTTACTTCCTGGTCCATCTCCAGAATGTAAGCCAGCTGTCTGGGTTTACTTTTGTTCTTTTGTTTCCTGAATCTTAGGCTCTCACACCAACCTCTTCTCAACAGGATCCTTGTTGGTTTGCATGTAAACTAGCAACAAAATGCAGTGATGGCTCCCCTGCTCAGAGGTCTTCATTTTATGTACTGCAATATATTTTGTTAAAATTTTATATGGAGGAATAACACAAAGTACTTCACAATATGGAACTGGAACTAACGGCAATACTCATTTCTTTCAAAATAAAAATGTAAAAAAATTCTGTCTTGCACTTGTAATTTAGAGATCTTTATGCTGTAACCTGATGGTTTCTCTCTTTCCACAGAACATTTCATATTTCTATTTTGAAGTGGAATCTGGGCCTGAAGCGTAAAAATCAAATCAGGTCCAGAACATATCTTTATTATACAGCTATCAGCACAATTGGAGGCTATCATCTCCAGCCCAGTAGAGCCAGTTTGGGGGTGGATAATAACCTTGTGAGCGGCACGATTCATAAGCCCGATGGCGTGACTCCGCTTAAAGGCACCTTATTACTGCGAAGGGAAAAGTCAAACCTTATTAAAAGCTCCTGGATCACCACTGGTCAAAGGTTTTTAGTGTACTCCACGTCATTTTAATAAGCAAAATCTGAACAAGACTCTCACGGCGGTTCTTTCAAGTATAGAGCCAAGTCCATGCTGATTATAACTCAGACGTATCCACGATGAGGATAAAATGCATAAATAGGAAATAAATAAATAGAGACTAAATTGGTCTTACAAAAGTTCAAAATTTATGGAACGTTTCTGTGTATAGCCTAGGTTTTTGGTGCATTTCTATCATAAAGAAAAAGATATAAAACTTCTGATATTTCACAAAAGACGTATTAACATTTATGGAAAAAAAACTATTAAAAAAACCTATTACATAAAAGCAGGCAGTTACCGTAAGAAAGGCTTACAGTATTCAATTATGCTGCATAACAGATCAGGACAGTATTACGAGGGAACGCAAAAGAAAACCAACGTGACAGGAGAAGCCAGTGAAGATTAATGTGGGGAGGCAAGCGTATGTACTGAGGATGATCTGAGAACCAGGAGAACAAATCTGAGGAAACTAGAGACAGCTGGAAGAGAGAGCAGACAGAAGGGAATCAACGGATGGAAATAGCTGCGCAGGTTGGCAGGTGTGAACGCGTGGAGGGAGGATCACTAGACTGCATAAGAGATAAACCTGAAAGAAGGGAATGGAAAATAATCAGAAGTACACAAATGAAAATAAAAAGAGGAGAGAAATGTCTGCAAAATTTTCCACAAATATGGAAAAACATTCACCGCCCCGTCGTCCTTCTACTGCCTACTGTCGTCTTCTTTGTCTTTTCTGCCAGTAGTAACAAAGTGTTTCTGTTGCAGTTTTACCAAATTCCAATCTGCGTATTTGGACCGATGGTGGAATAAACAAAACCAGTAACATCTAAGATGCAAAAAGAAAGGAGCAGTCTGAACACAAACACCTGAGGATCATGGCAAGAATTTGGCAAGACAATGAAATGGTTTTTATATCATGAAGTTTCTGTTGGGGAACAGCACTGAAATTGAAATGTAAGGTTTCCAGAGAGAAGTTGTACAGGAAAAGGGATGACCTTATTTTGCTTGAGTGAGTTTTGCTCTCTAAGTGAACTCTTGAGGATTTATGTTGCGTTCTGTGATCGTCCTCATGACCCACTGGACTCAATAGATAAGGTCTGTTAGCCAGCGGTTGAATGTTTGGGTGTATTCCAGCAGGGAAAAGTGTGACGGACAAGAGGTTGTTGCCACATATAGGATTTAACCGTGGACAGAAATCAAAGCGTCGCGTGCGAAAGAATTTCCAAACCCTGTCTCACACAGTTTGGAAAGTCGTCACAGAGAATGTACACCAGCGGCCAAAAATTTGGACAAACGTTCCCGTCCTATTCAATAAGAAGTTGCATCCAAGCTTTTGACAAGATGGTGTCCTTTGGCCAGAAGAGGGGAACAATTTGAACACCACAACAGAGAAAATGTGTGGCACAAACCAAATCCAGCATTTTTAGAAAAAGAAAGAGGTAGAAGTGTCATGGTTTGCTGCAGCAGGTCCCCTCTGGGGAAATCGACCCAAAACACCAAGAATTTCACTGAGAATAAAGAGATAGAAAGCCCTGGGCCTAGTCAAAGACTTACTAAGATGTTGTATAGGGTGACTTGAAACATGTTCTACAAATAGGAAACTCATCAGAGATAGAAACATATCAATGAAATTTTTTCAAACAGGGTCAAACAAGCCGTCAGGATGAAGGGAGTCTGGACTATCACCTGAATTCTTGCTGAAATCCATTATTTATGACCTAATGCGAGGTCAAATGTCGGGTTTGTGTGATTAAATCAGTTCCGAGAGATAAAATACATCGACATCTGGCTCCATAGAGATAAACGAGACTTTAACTTCCGAAAGAAAACTTTGTATCTTTACTACCTGGACCGCTCCGGGCCTACCTTCAGCTCCGACGCGCACAGCGTCGGGTCGCAGGTCGAGCCGCAGGTCGAGCCACAGGCGCACGCGGGCTTACAGCCACATTCAACCATACAAATCTGCTCCCTGGACCCGAACCCGGACCGCTTCTTCGACCCCTTCGGGGAAAACATGTCCGGAGCCGCGCCGAGCTGGTGTTCGGCTAATCTTCTCCAGAGAAAGTGAAAAGGGCAAAAGTCCAGAGAGGGAGCGCGAGCGCTGCTGTACCGGAGCTACGAGGTGAGGAGCACGCGCGTTTGGTACGTCATTATTCGTTGTAATGTTCTGCGCTGTTTATTCACGAGGACGCCAGAAGAAACGTCCAAATAGACTCAAATGAAGCGTCGTTTGTGTGCGTTTCCAGTCAGTAACAATGAAACCAAAAACAAGCGTAAAAATAATACAGAAAAATATAAATTCAACTTTCTGACAAAAAAAAACCCCTCAAAGACAAAGAAAGTTACTCTCTATATTAATAAAAAAAACAAACTGATTATTTTTGAAACCATTTGAACATTTTGTGAACCTTTGTGTTGGTATTTCTTTTAATGTTCTAAACTAAACTTAATAACAAATCATCCCTCCCCCACCCAAAAAAAGCAATCAACACTTCAGATATTTAAAAACATTTTACTGACTGAAATCAAGCGAGATTTCAAGACAAAACATTTCAAAATAAAAATAATTATATATAAAAAAACAGTTTAAAGAGGACCAGCTTTAAATCACATTAAATACATAACAGGACAGAGACACTCGTGAGTGAGTGAGTTTATGTGGAATAGTCGGTGCAGATCCTCCTGACACGCTGGTGTTATTTCACTAAACAATGACATGAAGGCACACTAAGAAAATTAAATTAACTTTTTTCTTTTCATTTCATCAGCCCAATTCTTGACAGATTAAAATATCAAAATAAAAACGTCCTGTTGGGAATGAACGTTTTTTTTTTGTGTTTGTTTGTTTCACAGCGTTTCTGTGAAACGTCAGATGGGTTTATGTGCGTTGCCACGACGCCTCAACGCTGACGGTCCCAGCGCCAGATGGAGGCGTCGTCGCACACGGCGATCAGGATGCTGCTGTCGCGGCTGAAGCTGGTTTGCCGGATCGCCGAGGTGCATTTGGGAAGCGTCAGTGTGGTGCACCTGAAGCGGAAACGAGGCCAATCAACTTTCTACACAAAACTCCATAAAAATCCTCTGATTTGTACCAATTACTAAAGTTTAGAACGGAACAGGGCTTCAATCAGAATTCAGATTCTCTCTCACTTACTTTGCTTTGTGTGGATCTTCCACTTCCAGGTCCCAAACATAAAGTTTTCCCACCTGGTTTCCCAAAGCAAGCATCTGGAGATGACAGACAAAACAGCCATCATTACTTTTCTCCACCATCAGCCTCAAACTCTGCTAAACATGACAAGGTAACTAAAGAATGAGGGTTGAGACCTTCTGCCAAAAGTCCATAGAGAAGCGCATGTACCAAATGTCACACTGGCTGTAATCGAAACGTCCCAGAATTGTGACGTTGGATTCGTTTGGCTTAATGTGGTCGATGTCGTCCTCCATCTTTCCCGGCTTCCAACACACAATGGCGTTTTCACAAGACTGCAGAGAGGAAAATGTTCTCAACCACCTTTGATAAAAAGCAGAACCTTTAACCTGTGTATAAAACCTCTCCTTACCTTAGAGAGAATCAAATCTCCAAGCCACCTCACGCAGTCCACGTAGTTTCTGTGGATGTCTCGTGTCGAAAAGTCCGGAAAGTGAATTTTCTGTGACACGAAGGGCCTGAAGAGAAGATCTGTGTCAGAGAAACATCTCACTCGTTTATCAACATTTCGAAGCAACAACTGATCAAGGTGACGCTTTACCGGTTCGTCTTTGTGGGGTTGTACTCATACGAGCCACGGATGGCTTTTTGCATCCGCTCCGAGTTGATTCTCCAGAGTTTCAGCGAGTGATCCATCCCACATGACATGATCTTTTCACCCAGCAGGTCAAAATCCTACCAGAGGACATAGATTGATTTGAATTATTGTGTGAATGATGGCATTTGTAATGCTGGCTTACAAATGCTATCACACATTTGTGAGCGAGCTAACATAAAATATGTTAGCTAAAATTAGCATATGTATCTAACGTGCTAGTTTTAGTATGTTAGATAGACATAGCTAACATGCTAATGTTGACATATAAGCTAATTACAGCTCAAAAGATAATGCTTGCAACAACAATTTTGGCTACCGTTGACTAGCATCCAATGTGTAGCAAAGTAGAGGTTCGGTATTTATGGAAATCACGTCGGCGTTAGCTGATATTAGCACTTACGCTAATGCACGTTGCTTCAAAGTGTTGAGCCCGGCTACTATTTCATCCTCCAAACAATTTGAATGTCATAAAAAAGTTTTGCATTTCTGCTATTCAGATTCCTCTGGATTTCCATAAAGATACATTTTAAACAGAAATGTCTGGTTTCTTCTCAAAATATGACAATTTCTATGCACTGGATTGCTGCTTGGGGCCTTAACATGTGTTTTGAGTTAATCAGTTCATACGTTGCGACATCATGAGTTTTCAAAATTAACCTCTTCTACAATATTAGAATTATATGGTAATAATTTTAGGTTTTCATCTTACGACATATGTATTTTTTGTATGTTTTAGATCCAACAATAACCTTCTAATCATTGCAGCTTCACTTACAGCACTCAGGACTTCGTCTCGGTGGCCCTCCACGCCTCCAAATATGGCAACTAACGTGTCCGTCTGTATGTTCCACAGTCGGAGGGCGTGATCTATTGAAAAAGACGACATTATCCATCTGCTTAAAAAGGCAGAAAATGCTTTTTGCTACTTTGTTAAATGTTCAGTTTCCTCAAAATGGGGGAGGCTGGTTTGCAAAACACTGAGCTTCACTTCATAACCAGAAAATGCTCCAAAACACGAACATGGTTGATGAAGAGGCATCAGTCCCACCTTAAAACTAAACGATGATTAAAAATTAAACTTTATTGCTGTTTGCATGAATTACTGCTTTATGAGTTTTACAGAAGCACCTGACAAGTCACGTGCTTATAAAAACTCAGCTGTCCAGAGCTCAAGTAGATTAGCTTACCTTTACTGACAGACAGGAGGAGATTTGGATCTCTTGGATGAAACTTGAGCTCATTGATGGCGTTCCCATGACCTACGTAATGCTGGGTACGGACAGAAGCGTGACAAAGGTCAGCTCAACGTGACGAAGCTTCACCCTTTATCAATTTCCCGCAGGACCAGAGAACGTAGAAAAACACCGTACCTTGATGCACTGCATCGTTATGTGGTTGATCACCCGGATGATGCCGCGAGAGCCAGCCACGGCCAGCAGGGGGTGACTCGTGTTTGTGTCGTAGGTCCAGGCGCACGTGTAGAAGTTCTCGTCTGCCTTTTTATTGTTTTTATTGCGTCAAAGAAAAGCAAAGACACTTCGACCTGCTCTTTTCATGCTCTCAAGCATGTGATCAGGGCTGATTAAACTGATTTTGGGGCACCAACAAGCAGAAGAGGCCAGTATTCACTGGTCCGAAGGATACGTCTGCATCGACGTAGGACTGCAGAAGTCTGATCTCCCCCTGAGAGTGACATTCATACAGAGTGACCTGGTGGAGGAAAGGATAGAAATAGTTCAAGTGGGAGCAAAAAAAAACTCAGAGAGGAGATTCAGGGAGGTAAATCTTAGGTTTTGTCATAAAAGAACGTGATTAAAGATGGAACGGAGACATTTAGCTCATTTTTTTAAAAAGCACACATACGGATGTTCAATAGGAATTTATGAACATCTCTGGAAAAAAGATGAAAAGTGATGACGGATCAATTAATGACAACGGAATGATGATTACGTAACATTCCCACAACAAAGCAGAGGAAAGCGGTTCGTTTTCCTTGCTAAACGAAGACGTACCCTGTTACTGCCAACCGTGGCGAACACCAGCGGGTCTCCCTCCTTACTGTGCCAGTTAAACTGGACTCCAAACAGCGGCTGACCGTGGTCCTCCTGGGGGGGCGGAGAAGCAAACGAAAACAACGTGACGCCGCGCTCAAAGCAAACTGCGAACGAGCTTAAAGACGCGGCGGAGCGTCTCACCCGCAGGCTGTTGACGCATTTGAAGGAATATCTGCACTTCTTGGACTTCCACTTGCCCTTCCCCCAGCTCTTCCTGCCCGGAGCGTTGGCCGTGTTAGTGGGTGTGTCTGGACGCTCCGCGTTGGTCCCGCTTTCGACGCTGACCGCGTCGTCCTTGAAGGAAAAAGAAAAAAGGACGACATCGGTTCAATTTGTGTGCTTCCCCAGATCCGTGTTATCAGATTTCTTAGTTTCCTTTTTTTTTCCTTTCACACCATCAAATACATAAGTTTACCATGAATGTGTGCCAGATACTTCAGTCGAAGTCATGTTTTTTTCACATAAAATCTGGGGGGAAAAAGCAGGAGGAACAAATAAAAGAAAACAGGAATAAGATGGGGGGATGAAGGATTGGTAAAAATTTAAATTAAAGAGATGGAGAGGATAACTGTAAGAGGGATGAAACAGAGGAAAGGAAAAGAAATCAAAGAAGGATGGAAGTAGCTAAGAAAGGATACAAGGGAGCAAACAGAAAAAAGAAACAAGAAAAAAATCCAAAAAGCAGAAGAAATACACACTAAAGCATCACTTTGAAAATGCACCAACTTAAAGTCATATTGGGTGTGATTGTGCTATTGATAATAACATGTTTATAATGATGAATTCAAGTTGAGATCCGTTATACAGTCAGATGTACAACGAATATGCACATTAAACATCATGATAAACCCATCATGATGAGTCTTGCAGCATGCAGAAAGGAGCCACTACATTCCTGAAACTCACCCAGTCCTTGTAAACACTAAAAACCAAACCCAATCCTGCTACCGACTGTGTGGGAACCCTAGTAATGTTCTAAAAGGCGAACTCTGCACGCCCAGCTGCACTGTGTTGTGGGAAACAAGCCCGGTTCGGTTGCAAGTGGACGAAGATGCTCCAAGCTAACATCTTTAGCTTTCCGGTCGCCTGCTAGTGCGGAGCTAACCCGCCAAAAAGACCCCAACCTTTCTAACCGCGTACATTCATATACACGGACACATGCGGTGGAAGCGCTTACGTTCTCGTCTCCCGACATGTCGGGGTTACTGTTCTCATCGCTGCTCAGTTTCTGTTTCTTCGCCGGCAT